ACCCCAAATAAACTTTCGGTCATGCCCAACATTTTTCTAATTTACAGTAGATCTCTATCTTTAAGCCCTTTCAAGCCGCAAGCTTTTGAAATATTGATGTAAAAAAATCCAGCATTTTTCCAAAAATCTCTGGCGCCTAAAGGGTTAATAATGTTACAAAAGACTTCTATTTCTAGAGTACAACAGCTTCGAACGTGGCTCAGCCAATCAGAATCAAGGACCGGAACTATCCGTTTTATAAATCATAATATCAAATAAACACAAGAGTCTTTTTGTCTGTTTAACGATTTCTAGAATTGAATGATTTCTAGAAATTATTACTTTTATTTAGCAAGGGTGCTATAAATTGATCAAAAGAGATGACAAAGACATTTATAATGTTACAAAATACTTCTATTTCAGATAAATGCTGTTCTTCTGAACTTTCTATTCATGAAAGAACCTGAAAAAAATCTACTCTGTTTTCAACAAAATAATAATAATAATAATATATATATTGGTACACGGTACACAGAAGTCATGGTTTGGTATGTACGGTTTTGGGGTCACGGTTCGATACAAGTTTGGTACAACAGGAAATGTATTTTTATTTTTATTTTTGAACAGACAGTAATGCTACATGTAGCATGAGCAGTTGTTTTTTAATTAGATTGTATAATTTCAAGATTTAAAGCAAAAACAGAACTTTTGATTTGTTAAATTAAGCTACACAAGACACCTGCACAAAACAAAAACAGCTGACGGACTGAATGAAAATGACAGCAGGTGGCGCTTATGGAACAATAGTGATACAGCGTTTCCTTGGGCATTATATGGAGGTAAGAGGAAAATAAAATGCCATCGAAGCATTTCTGGAGACGGTCAGTTCCTCTGAAAGATGCATTCATATAAACCCCCACATATTTGTCTTTCTATATTTCAAGCATCGTGACCAGTGAGCTTTATCTGCCTGGTACAGTACTTTCTCCTCCTTACAGACCTCATAAAAATTCCACACAAATTACATTTTGGGAAATGATGGCAATGCAGTTTGTGTGCAATTTTGGAAGAGTGATCGGCCAAAATAAAACTAAAAAACGGTTCTTATTTACAGCCGCATCTCTAGAACCCCAAACTTTCCCACACTGCTAATTTAAAACAAGCAGGCGGTTCTTCGAGCTCTTTGTGGCATCTGAACTTGCCTTTCTTGTTTTGGATTGATGCATAGATCGTCTCTTCTTCTACTCTTTCCTGTGGTGATGGTTAGCGTTGCATTACTGCAAGCGCCCCCTTCTGGATTGATCGCTTATGACTGACTGCATTCATCGTCTGACTGCATGAACCGAACCGTGACATACGTACCGTGATGGTTCCAGACAAATACATGTACCGTTAAACCAATAATATATATATATATATATATATATATATATATATTGCACTGTTAATATAGACATATTGTTTTCTTTGTCAATAAAACTTAGATGTTGTTTTTCCCATCATGTGTTGCTTTGTATTTTGTTCAGGCTTTAGTAGGATGATATAACATTTAGGTGCAAATATGCAGAATAGTAAACCAGTGCTTGAGGAACAATGAGAGTTGTGTGTTTTAGAGAGATTTTGTTGGTATTTTACCCAATAAGTGTTTTTTGGTATTCTGGCCTGGCCTAAAGACAATAATAAAACACTTAGGAGCAAAAATACAGAGAATAAGACCAAAGCTTGAAGCTAAAATGGCAAATATCTCGACGGCTACAGTAAATTTCCCTGGAGAGCTGACATATGCTGGAACAAATGTGATCCATACAGCACAGAATATGAGCATACTGAATGTGATGAATTTGGCTTCATTAAAGTTATCAGGCAGCTTACGAGCCAGAAAAGACAGAATGAAGCACAAGACAGCCAGTAGGCCAATATAACCCAACACAGCCCAGAAACCTATAGTAGAACCCAGACTGCATTCAAGAATGATTCTTTCGTTATAATATTTCATATTTTTGGAGGGAAATGGAGGAGATATTGTAAGCCAAAGAACACAGATAAGAACCTGTATAAGTGTAAAGGCAAGAACACTGAGTCGTTGTTGTGCAGGCCCAAACCATTTCATGATATTACTTCCTGGAAGTGTAGCCTTGAAGGCCATTAACACCACTATCGTTTTCCCCAGAACACAGGAGATACAGAGGACAAAAGTGATCCCAAATACTGTGTGACGCAACATACAGGACCACTCAGTGGGCCGACCAATGAATGTAAGTGAACAGAGGAAACACAGAGTCAATGAGAAGAGCAGCAGGAAGCTCAGCTCTGAGTTGTTGGCTTTTACTATGGGGGTGTCCTTCTTGCTGTAAAACACGATGGCCACCAGCAGAGTTAATCCTGCTCCAAACAGTGAAAAAAAGACTAGCACTATACCCATAACTTCTGTGAATGAGAGGAACTCTAAAGTCTTTAACACACATGTATCTTTCTCAGCATTAGACCAGTATTCCCCTGGACACTGCCTGCAGTTATTTGAATCTGGAAAGGAAGTTGTGTTTACTATGGTTAGAGATAAAAACAAAATTATTTTATTTATGAACTCCTTTGATAAAAAACTGCACCCTGAAGAGCAAAAGAAACCCACAAAAAGAGCAACTAACCAATTTTCTTTGGAACTTTGAGATTGATTGAAGTTTACCTGTCTCATTACTGATTTCTCCTTCTGCACATGGAATACAGTCATAACAGCAGACAGGTCTTCCTTTCTGTGCAGCCTTCCTAGTGCCTGGAGGACAGCTCTCACTGCACACAGACCTCGGCTTCTACATTGAAAAATATAGTTATGTACACTTGTTTTTCAACGCCGTCTACATTTTCTACTCTATCAAAGTATATAACTTGGTCTTTATTCTTGAAAAAAAAAATACATTTGCCAAATGGTTGAGGTCACTGTTATTTTTTATCTTAATAATAATAATTTACTTATAGTGTAATATTCTCCTTTTGTATTAGATGTCAGTGCTAGCATTTGCATTTTTTAGATTTTGGCAGCCCAGTTTAAACAAAAAATAAATAAATAAAAAGGTTATTGGCATTTACCTCCAGCTGTCCTCCAGCCCAAAGTATGTTTTCAGTGTTAACCACAAAGCGCTGGTCAGGAGGCAGTGAGGCATCATAGTATCCCACTGGTTTAAATTGGACTGATCCATCAAAATCCTGCTGCCAGTTCACAACTTCATATTGGGCTACTGTGGCACCACTGCTGTCAAACCACACATGATCTCCAAACTTTACAGTGAAATTGACCTTTTTCAGAGCCTCAACCACCTAGTGAAAAGACAAATTAGATGTAATTGACAAATTGCAATACAATGTGCAGAAATACTTATCAGTACCACTCTAAAATAACTTTCATATATAAATCATTAACAAACATTATATAATGCTTAACAAATTGTTAGTTAATATATGCTATACTATTACTAAATTTATTAAACATTACCTAATAATCAACAGATAATTAATGTAAATTTAAATGCTGAAAAATGTAATTAAACGTTTAATTCATATGATCATGCACTTCTTGAAAATCTACAAACAATTTGAACATATGTTATACAATGATTAAAAGCTTTTGTTAATGTACAACACTTTTGCTGCTATTGAGGTGTGATATGGGTAAGGTTAGGGGTTGGTCGTATAGGTAGGTTTAAGGGTTGGGTAAGGGGTCAGAAGTGTAGAGGGGTCAGTTTGATTACTATGAGGGAACATGGTTCAATTATGTTATAGTATGTTTTGATAAATAAACAAGTATTTTCTTGAAAAATCGATTTGTTTTCTCCTGCTGATTTATGATTCAAGGAACACCCTGTTTAACGATATAGTATACTAATATAAGTGTTGAGGCAATAAAAACATGTTTTGCACCCAAATTACAACGTTTGTAACGTCTTTAAGAAGCATTTACATAAACTTAACTAACCACCCTTTACACAAACGTTGTTACAGCAGCTAAAAGTCCAATGCCCATTAAGGTCCTGAATGATTATTAAACATTTATAAACATTTACAAATGATGAATAGTTTCCACTTTAGATTGGGTACTGCAAAAACATGAACAAATAATTAATAAATGATTTGTTAAGATGTGTAAATAGTAGAAGACTAAAACAGAGACCAAATATATGGCCTTTACAGACTGTGGTTATGAGTTAATGAATAATGTGTTAACATGAATTCAGTGAATAGTAAAGAGCTTAAAATGACTTAAGTTCTTTTTTCACAACATTTGTAAATGTAAAAACGAACATTAGGTAATATGTGAACTGTGTGTAGAAGTTTAATGATGATTAATTTGTTAGCATTCAAAAGTACATTAACAAATAAGCTTGTAACCATTGTATCATTTATTTTAAAATCATTTGCAGATTTTTAAAAAGTGCATGATTGTATGAATCAAAAGATTAATGACATTTGTACGCATTGACTAATGATCAGTTAAGCATTATATGTTTGTTAATGATTTAGTAATGAAGCTTTTAATCATTGTAAACCATCTGTCTGTCTGTTAATCATTAGGTAATGTTAAATAAGTACATTTGTTAACATTAACAAGCACATTATCTCATATTTCTAGCTATGTGAATATATATTATGTAATGATCTGTTAAGCATTATATAATGTTTGTTAATGATTTATTAATGAAAGTTATTATAAAGTGTTACCTACTTATCTCTATCTGTTTAGCTCAATTCTGGTTTATTTATTTATTTACCTGCTGTGGTTGTATTTTCAGGCCGTTCTCACAGCCTTCTTGTGTTTTGCACTTGAGTAGACTGTGTAGTGAATGAGCCACAGCATAAACTGCTTTGTAGGCGTTGCTTGAAAATCTGTGTTCAGGCACATCTTCATTGTAATTTTTCAGCACAAGCAGATCCTGATAGCTGCTGCAATTTACTTTGATCTGAGAATCATTTCCTTGACCATGTGAGCATGGAAAAGCTGTGTCCCAGAATGCTTTTATAACATAATCGGCAAAACCTTCAATATTGATTTTTCTCATTGCAAACCCCAGTGAGCCTCCCAGCACACGAAAGGTTGTTGGAGTGATCAAAGACTTTGAAGTTATCCATGCCTCCACACCGACCATTTGGAGGCCCGTTATGTTCTGAATACTTAGCTGTTCAGTTAATAAACCCATCTCAAGAAATGAAATGAATGCAACAATCACTTTTACGGTACCTTTTTTTATTGTGTCTACCACTTTTTTTAGTTTTTCAGGCTCTGTTCTGTAGAATTTCACAGAGTACTCCACACAGATACCTTCCTTCTGAGCTGTATTAAGAAATATGGCCATTCCATTGTTTCCATAATCATTGTCACTGTTCACAGCTCCCACCCAAGACCAGCCTAAGTGCTTGACTATGTATGCAAGTGCTCTGCCTTGGTGGTAATCACTAGAAATAGTCCTGAAGAATGAGGGGTAGTCTTTTCTATTACTAAGACACTCACAGGAGGCCGCATGACTTATCTAAAAAAAAATAAAAAATAGAGGAAACAATGAAATGTGTCCACAATATGGTGATCAAACCTATTTTAATTTCCACCTACCACTGGAATTTTAAAAGGTCCTGTAGTTCTGGACAAAATCACGGTGGCAGAAGACTCTGTTTCTCCTATGATAGCATGTATAGGAGACTGTACACTGCATGTGTCCCCTGCTTCAATCTCTAGACCATTCATTAGTCCGACAGTTGCACTCATAGAAGACATTCTTGAACTACAGGTATCATAAATTCTGTAGCCAATAGAAACATTTGGGAGCAAACTTTCACTTCTGTTAATCTCTTCAATGGCAAAAATCATGATTTGAGCTAGCCGAAAATCTCTCAGATTCACACTGTGAAAATCAGCAAATCAGCTAATATCAACTAAATGTATAAACAGATAAAGACATTGTTGAAGTAAAAGACATGCATATACATACTAAATTCCACATAACATTATAACAAACCTGGAGCATGATAGAAACTGAGGTTTTTGTGTAAACTTGAATGAAGATAATGTCTCTATGCTGTGTACTGGAAAAAGTGCCCCAATAGTTACGTCTCCATCCTTGAAAAGCAGAGGGTGCTTAGGTTCTCCCATCATTCGGCAAGGAGTGTTTCCCACCTTTGCTTGAAGCTGAAAGAAACACAGGAGAATGTAAAGAAACAGAAGCATCTCAAAGATTGAGCTCAACTATATTTGCCAAATGCACCTAATGAAGTATTTGCTCTTTTATATGCAAAATTATTATAGATGAATGATTGCAAACGTAGCCAATGATCTCACAGGGCAGCATATGAGGTGGGTCAGGCATTGGTCAAATAGAGTCTAACAAATTTCGGTAACACTTTCTATGAAGCCCGTATTTATAATACATTATAAGGTTATTAATAAGGCATTATAATGAATGAAAATGTTGTATCATCTCATAAATAGTCATAAGAACAGTTTTAATGTATTATAATACTTACTTATTTGTGGTTATAGTTTTTAAGAGTATGATGATTTATAACACACAATGAACATGTTGCATCCACTTAAGTTACAATGAATTATATTTCCCATAGTTATAATATATTATAAGTCTTATATCTTGCCATTGTTTAAGATCTGCACAATAACTTATTAGTGTTTTTACTGTAAAGGACAAATACAAAGTCTTAATGAAAACATCCAAACTGCTTTATAATGTGGTCTTATTATTTATAAGTGGTCTTTGTCTTCTTTAAGTAACTTCACTTTACTTAAAGCAGACAAAGACCACTTATAAATAATGATAATAATAATATTTTTTTACTCAAACAGCCATAAAATCAGATATCAGATCAGATGAATGTGTAAACATTTGCTTTGAACTATTTTTAATGTAATATCAGTATGGTTATTTTTATGGTACCCTAACTGTTGATAAGTAACTTTGCAACTACATGTCAACTGGCAGTAATTGGAGTATTAGTAGTATGTCTGCTAAACATCTGCTAACACTTTATTTTGATGGTTTCCCAACTGAATATTAGAAACTTTGCAAGTACGTCAACTTATTCTACCAACCATAACCTTAACCTAAGTCTACTAATACTCTAAATAAGAGTTGGTTGGCATGTACTGTAGTTGCAAAGTTGCTTATAGTCAATAGACTAATGGGGACAATCAAAAAAAAAACAAAAAAAACGCTTTGCATATTTTTTTCATTTGAAAGTATTACAACTGATCTTAAAGTAGTTCACATAAAAATTAACATTAACCTCACAGAAAACATCACTCAACAACTCCTAACAAACACTCAACCACTCCTAATCTCTCGATGTAGTAAGATACTGTGCAGATCTTAAATAAACAATGTCACGATATGAGATAATCCATTATAAATTAAGTGGATTTAATATGGAATTAATAGTTATTTATTAATTATTATTATTAATCATACTCTTAAAAGTTATAATCACAAATTTGTAAGTATTACAATGTATTATAATTGTTGTTATGATTATTTATGAGATGATACAACATATTATAAGGTTTTTTATAATGCATTATGCATTCATTATAATGCCTTAAGGATAACATTATACCCTTAAAATGTATTATAAATAAGGGCTTCATAGAAAGTGTTACCCAAATGTTCTTACACTGTTAGAATATAGTAAGCTTTAAAACATTGAATTCTGGATAATTAAGTTCCCTTCCGAGGGAACTCAAACTGCATCCTCTAGCGGTCACTATGGGGAACGCCTTCGGCGTGACCGGTGTCTGAAGCAAACATCTAAACACGACAATAACATTGGCCGGCGACAGCCTATGACGTCACTACCGTCGCGACCACAGTATAAAAGGGTGCCGATAGAACACGTCATCCTCTTCTTCTTCTTCTTCAGGGACTGTTTTGTTTGAAACATGCATCTGGTAAGAACGCTGTTCTTTCTACTATTATTGTGGCGAGCACTAGTAAGACTTTTAAGTGTGTGGATCCGTGTCCTCGTTATTTGACACCTGATGACTCACACGATCTTTGCGTGTTGTGTTTGAGCGAAGAGCACGCACGCGATGTCCTCGAGGGGGCAATCTGCATGCATTGTAAGTCTTTTTCAATGAAAAAGCTCCGCTCTCGTTTGTCTCTCTTCTCGAGGGGAGGGAGACAACCACAAGTTCCTAGTGACTCAGGACCCGCCGCTGCTGTGGCACGGTTGAGAATGAGTTCATGGGGCTCTCAGGTGGACCTGGCTGATGAGTTAGAGAAGGGTCTTTCTTTCTCACGCTCGTTGGCTGTGGGCGAGAGTGAGCTACTGGACGAGGATGCAATCTCTCTTGCATCCTGTGATCCAGCGGCTAGTGCTCTGCTGGCTTCTGGCAAGGAAGAGCAGGTGATCGTTAATGAGGACGAAGAGGTTAGAGACTGAGTCCTCTCAGCCCTCCTGCCCTGCGTACGCTAAGCTATTGGAGGTTACGAAACGCGCCACAGCAAGGCTTGACTTGCCGTGGAAGTGAGGCAGAGAGGAAACTGTTCGGGGCAGTTGGGATGAACGTTACCTTTCTGATCATAGCCCTCCAGCTTAAGTGAGCCTTCCTTTCCTTCCCGATTTCCATGTGGAGATTGAGAGGGCTTGGAAAAATCTGTTTTCTTTGTGCATCCACAGATTCCAGCTTTCGAACTATGCCAATATTGAAGGGATGCGCGAACACGGATATGAGAGGATGCCTCCTATTGGAGAGACGCTAGCCTGCTATCACACATCAGGATAAACATCTTCTCTTAAGGCTCCCTCTATGCCATCCAGACCCCTTCAGGTAACATCACGTCTGAATGGCAAGGCGTACACAGCAGCGGGTCAGGCTGCAACTGCACTGCATACCATGGCAGTGCTTCAAGCTTACCAGGCTGATCTGCTGAAAGACCTGGATAAGGGTCAGGGTCTTTCCCCTGAAGAGGTTTTTGAGCCACAGATGATCTTCCTAATTCCCCCTACCACCTACCCCTTGCCCTAATCGAGGTTAGGCAGGAGCTTCCATGCACTTTAGTCTCTATTCTGGACCGATGATGTGTTTGGCTGTTTCTATTTAATATAGAACTGCCTACTGATGGTCCGGACCCAAGTTGGGTTCTCCCCTGGTTCAGAAGGACACCTTCAAGTGTGTGCTGGAATGACGGTATGTGAGTGAGAACCATTTAATTCCTTTGTTATTTCTAGTTTATTGTGTGTTGTAACTAGAAACCTTGTTTTGCAGTACTCTGGTAACCTAACGGGTTCCCGTTAGCCAGGTTGTATACCTACTCGCATCTCTAGGTCGAGCCAGGACTCCTCACCTTCCAGTAGGTGCAGTTGAGCACTCTGCTCCCTGAAAGCAGTCTTGACTGTACCCATCCACATGGGCTACCTGCGGATACGCCTGGTACAGGATCCTGCTAGCAGGTTGTTAGGCCTGGTTTTTAGGTCTCCCTGTTTATTCTGGAGAACCCTGACACCGAGGTCTTAAGGCCCTGGGTTAGCGCATGTTGCGTCAAGAAATTCCTGCAGAGGGCAGTGCAGTGTGGTGGCTGAGCTGGAACCTGTAAGGTTGTGTTTCCGGGGGGGAACAATAAAATGGTGCACCTCTAAGAGCACATGCAGGTGAAAAGTTCAATAGTAGAAATATCAGTATTGTGTTTAAATTATGTAGGATTTTGTTTGATGGAATTTGTTACAGTACTGATTAGTGCTAAGTTTGATGTTATTTCTGTCATGACAACTCTCAGAGGGATTGGCATGGTAATGTACATGACAATGTTAATGTATTTGGTCTTGGCGGAATAGATCTGCTACGCTGCTGCTGCTGCGGCAGAGCAAGTACCGAGACTTGCTACTGCCAATACATCCAGAACATGCTGCTGTGAGCATGTAAGAAATATTGCTGCTGCAAATATAACCTACATGAAATAACCCCCATATAGCATACATGAATCACCTCGTAGCAGATATATACAGGTGGAGCTGGGGAAGGTGGAGGGAATCTGAAGCAAGTTGCAACTGCTACGGCAAGCACTAGTCATATATTTGAATGTTGAGCAGCGAGCTGATTGACTACCGATACAGGAAAGAACCAGTGGCGGCTCGTCGGGGGAGGCAAGATTGAGTTAGACCTATCGGACTGTGCCATCTAGAGTTTCATGCCAGAACTCTGTATTTGTCTTATGTGGGAATTTAAGAAAAATTACTTGATTTGAAAGGTTTAAGTTTGTCAACATTATAGTTATTAAGGCATAAAACCCTTTTATTAGATCTGCCTTAATTGACTATAGTTAATATGTTGATGTTGAATTAAATGGAATGTGAAATATTAGTTTAAATATCTTTATTTATATTAATTCATATTTTGTGTTTGTATCTATTTTTAAAGTGTGACGAGAGGGGTGGGCATTAGAAAATGCTAATGCACGACACCTGCACCACTCGGCCGGAGCCTGCTGCCATCCGCCATGATGGGGAGGAGCAAGGAACGGGGGACTCCTGCCGGCTGCCCGAACCCGGAGGAGCCGTCGCCATCCACCGGGCGGTGGAGGAGTGTTGGGCCGTCTGCCAAGGGCTGTCCAGTGCCGCCGCCTGGCATCGCAGAAGAGCTTACCCAGCTGGTGGAGGGCCGAGCGGCAGTGTGTCTGGGAACCGGAACAGGATTTTAATTTTTTTTCCTCTCTCCCCTTCCTGGACTTTATTTTGTGTTTTGTGTGCGGCAGTCGTCCGCGAGGGGCTGCTGCTTTACTTTAGTTTTGTGTTTGTTTATTTTATTAAAGTTTTAAATGTTCGCCGGTTCCCACCTCCTTCTTCCTGTGACTACGAACTTTGTTACATAAAGGTTATCAACCTTCTACTACTGCAATTACAGCTACTGTACAGCTGCTTCTACTATTGCTTTGCTAAGCCTTTACAAACAGAAGTAAAATAAAAACAGTAAAGATGAATTGTCCTCTTGTGTCCTTCAGACCTTGAAAGTCATATATCAAGTTTGGGCAGAGCTGAAAGGGAAAACCTAAAAGAAACTTGGCAGTTGATAACCAGTGTGGTAGTGAAGACAGGAGAATTAAAGGCCTAAAAGTCTCAGGAAGCTGTTGACGCAGAAGAAGAATCACCCGAAATCATCTTTCAGTGGCGCAGGAAGCTCTAGGGAAAACAGTGAAGCAGCTGAAGCAAGAGAGGACTTTAGCT